TAAAATCTTTTATACCATCTCTGCTTTCATTTGTAATAAAGAATTTGACTTTTGTGTTTATTTACCAGTGTCAGTAAACAAACTGAACAGTGGTGATTGTTAGCTAAAATATTACATGAAAAGATCAAGTTGTTAAAACGTTACTTACCATCTTTGATATTTTTTAGACTATATCTGATTTCTTAAAGATGTTGGGCATATGCTAAGTGAATGAATAATAAACACATACTCTGTGTTTGGCAGCTTTTAACTGGAAATGAAACATTCTTTTTATGGGAAGAGGCTGTTACTAGCCTGCCATGTTCTCAAATGTGCTTGTAAGCAGCTTTAAGTATTAGTTGTTCAATAATATTTTAGGTAGGGTTAAAAAGAAAGCTGTAAATTCCTGCTGATTAAAGTCTTTTCTCATGACCAGTGTGCAGATTCTCCCTCAACAGTTCCGGCTCCTCCTTGTGGCTACTGCCAGGCACAGCCAACGGTGCGCTGTTGTGCTTAAAAAGTTAAAGGGGAGGTTGAGGGGAAGAGCAGGTATCAGCTGTCTGATGCTAGAGATCTGACAAGATGATGGCTTCACAGTATTCTTGCTTTGTGTAAAAATGCTTCAGATTTTCAGTGTAGAAACTGTTTCACTCTTTTCATTTGTGGAGATTGGCACATACATATTTGAATTTTACAAAAGAGATTTTCTACCAAAGCAGTATTTTCTAATCAGGGCAATTTTGCTCTTAAGGGACATTAAGCAGTGTCTGGAGATAATTTTGGCTTCCGTAACTGTGGGGCGTACAGAGTACTACTGGTACTTCATGGCCGAAGGCCAGGGATTCTGCTAAACAGCCTAACAGTGAACAGCCCTTCCCAACAAAAGTGCATCCATCCAGGTGTCAGTAATGCCAAAGTTGAGAAATCTAGCTCTTAATGCTAACAGGAGCAAAATGTAATTATAAATGAGCTTTTTCTCGCCTCATTGAATGTGGATGTGAATAATTGAGCATTATTAAATTCACTGTGAGGTACATTATTTTAACATTTGAAAAAAAATCTCGATCATTTCTGCAGATTTGTGCAATGTGGATTTAAAATGCTTTTTTTTTTTTTTTTAAAGAATTGGTTATTGTTGTATTCTTACATAACTAATCTCATCTACTGCCTTTCTCCCTCCTCCCCCTGTTTCTCCTTGTCGGTTACAGAGGAATGGTAGGAATCATTCTCACTGCTGGAATTATTGGATGGTGTAGTTTTTCTGCATCCAAAATTTTTATTTCTGCATTAGCCATGGAAGGACAGCAACTTCTGGTAGCATATCCTTGTGCTTTGTTATATGGAGTTTTTGCCCTGATTTCTGTTTTTTGAACTGAATTTATCTGGCATGTGGACATCATTGGGCCAAAAAGGACTTGAACTCTTAAATTGGACCAGCGAACTGCTACAGTGCAACTCTCATGCAGACCTAACATTTGACTGTTGGAGCAATGGAAGTAAATATGTATCTTTTGTTCATTTTTATAGAACTTTTGAATACTATGTTGGATTTATCTGCAGTATGACTAGCTTTAAGTATTTGTGCTTATACAGATAAGATTAAGAAGTGCTATTTCTCTCCTGTTCCTGCAACCTTTGAAAAACAAATTTTTTCCTTGCAAATTATATTAAGATGTTTTTAATAGATTTTTATCAACTGTGGGAAACTAACCACGTAACTAATAATCTTTCTTAGAAACAACCCAGTCATAGTTAAGAAGACACGAGACGTATTGCAGAAATATTTTTCCCAGGGATTAGGAAGGAAATATTGCCTATATTCTCAAGTTAGATGCACTTGGAGCAAAAAAGTGATCCCAAAGTAGAATTTTATAAGTTTGCACTTCCAAAATTTGACATTCCTTTAAATTATCTCATGGAGTTTTTGCTAAAATTCAAAGAGACAAGAAGTTCATAGTCTACTTTATTGTAGATAGGAAATGTGAACACCTATTAAGATAAGCATTAACTAAATTGTAGTGACCCAGACTGGCTAAATTTATGTTCATAGTTGGATCTTCATATTTCCTAGAAAATCACTAACCTTTTTTGAAAAAAATATTTAAAATGTCGCAATTTCAGTACTGCAGTTACCAATGTAAAATGCATTTGATGCTTAGTAATTAAAATTTTCCCAATTTTAACTGCTGTTGAGTTGATTTTTACTGTTTTTGGTACCACATTTTCTTTAACTAGTTCCTGGTTTTAACTTGTATTCCTGATTTAGCCTGAGTTTTAAGAACCGAAATTTTTTAGTATAAAATTAGAAAAAAAAAAAAAAAAGGGATTAAGTGAAAGGCAATTTGAGTTACAACATTATTTCCTTGTATTAAATTTATTTGGCTAATGTCATGCTCTCTTGTCAGAGAATCTGTGGGAAAATGCTGTATCTTGTATTTTGATCATTGGCTTTTTCTGAAAAAAACTGCCTCTGATTTTGGACAAGCTCAGTTATACTTATGAGAAAGGTACCCTGTGGGGAGGAAAATGTTGCCCTCTTTTTTTTGGGGGGGGGACTTCTAGACTAATTAAAAAAACAAACTGATGTTTATTGTTGGTTTTAAAAGGTAGTGTTCAATCAAAAAAGGAGGTTACGTTAATAAAACACATTTCTTATAAGATCATGATTTCTAATCTCTGGAATCATATAAATTCGTTTTTCTTCATTAATACTTAATCTAGGAATACTCTCAGTAATAATTCATTTCTGGCTGGGTTTTCAAACTTACCAAAGTGTTTTAGAATATTTCTCACTGTAATCCATGGATAGTATCTTTTTTGCCTCTTTCAGTTCAGTTTTATAAATACTGCTCTTGTTAAGGCAGATATAATGAGTGCCTTCTGTTAATATCCAATTTTTCCTAATGAACAGGGTAGATGATGCTTTGGGAATTAAATTTTCTCACTGTTGAATAATCTTAGACCATTAATCTTCAGTCAGATCCCCAAATTGTTTTCTTATTTTTTCCTTCTCCTACCCCCAAGATGATAATTTTTAATTTAAATCAGTGTTGAGAGATTTTTGTTGTTATTTGTCTTATTTAACTCCAAAGTGATTAGGTACAAAACCATCTTATATAAACAGTTACTCTATCAAAAACAGCTATATAGTGGAGTTGCATTTAATGCAAGAGGTTAGTTTTAGAGTTTGCTTGATATCTGAAGAGTCATGTATAGCCAAAGTCTCCCTTCTTAAAGTTTTCTTATGGGCACCTGGGTGGCTTAGTGGGTTAAGCCTCTGCCTTCAGTTCAGGTCGAGATCTCAGGGTCTTGAGATTGAGCTCCACATCAGGCTCTCTGCTTAGCAGGGAGCCTGCTTCCCCCCCACCCCACCCCCGCCTGCTGCTCTGCCTACTTGTGCTCTTTCTCTGTCAAATAAATAAATAAAATCTTTTTTTAAAAATACAATGTATATAGCCGTATTTATGCATACTTTAAAAGCTGAAAAACTTATTTCAAAAAGTTATATATGCTGACTTTTTTCTCTGGCATTGTATTAGATTTTTGTTTCCTCAATGAAGTTCCAGGAAGAGCATCTAGCTAGGGTCCGTTTTGTACCCAAAACATACATGTAACATTAAATATGAGAGATAAGTCAGTATAGCTGCAAGCTCACTTAGTGATTGTCTCTGAGTAACAAACTCACTATGAATGGATTTCAGGATCTCTCAGTCAAGCTACAGTGTTATTTATTTATGTATGCCTTTATGCCAAGGACAGATAGTTGCTTTTATGTATGGCATAAATGTGTATTTTATGACTTTTTTAAAAAAATTTTTTTATTAGAGACAGAGTGAGTGAGAGAGAGATTGAGAAAGCACCAGCCGGGGATGGGCAGAGAAGTAGACTGTCCGCCGAGCAGAGAGCCCAACATGGGACTCGATCCCAGGACTCTGGGATCATGACCTGAGCCGAAGGCAGACACTTAACTGACTGAGGCACCCAGGTGCCCCGTTTTATGATTTTTAATACCATGTCATATTAGCATGTTTACCAGTGGATACTTTCAAGAGCTATGTAACTAGGCTTGTAGGAATGGGCATTCTTTCTCCAGATACTGTTATAAAGATAGTACAAAATTCTCTAAATCTTAAAAAGCTAACTAACTGTTGGCACATACTAGGCATCCAATCAAAGAGGATTTTTAAAAATGTATCTAATGACCTATTTTTGGGTAGAATTTAAGTACTGTGCATTTGACACTTTCCAAGTTTATTTGTAGCCTTAATGGGCATTGCTCAACTCAAATATACTCCAAATCTAAGTAGGATGATTATCTCTGAAACTCAAATTATACAATTATTTTTGTAGTATTCATTACCTATAAAAAAGGAACCTTTCTGAAATTGGACATTTTTTTCCTTGTAAATAGAAGAATTTAGAACTTTGGGCAAAGGGTGAACTATAGAAATTGAAATCTTACCCAGTAGAGTACTCTGACCTAGTAATTGTGGAAAGTTGTAGGAAGTCAGGACCACATTTGGAGATCTGCTTGCTGTCATATAGAGCAGAGCTAATGTAATGACTCAGACAATTTCCTTAACTTGCCCTGTAGGAGAAATTTTATTTATTTATACATACGTGTGTGTATATGTATAATGTGTATATGTATAATACATATATGTTTAGGCTTTCATAAAGTATTTCCAAAAGTTTTGCAAGAAATATAGAATGGTACAGATCATAGCATGAAGACTACCAAAGAATAGCACTGGGTTTTCAAAACTCTAGCTAGAGCAAGCTTCTACCTAAAAATAATGCTCTAAGCTAAGTCTGTCCTCACAAACTATCTGCTGATTCATTTTGTGATATCATGTGAAATTCTAAGTACTGGTTACCAAATGATGTCAATTTTTTTTTTCAAGATTATTTATTTATTTATTTATTTATTTGACAGAGAGTACAAGTAGGCAGAGTGGCAGACAGAGGGAGAGAGAGAAGCAGGCTCCTCACTGAGCAGAGAGTCCAACTGGGGGCTCTATCCCAGGATCCCAGGATCATGACCCGAGCTGAAGGCAGCCACCTAACTGACTGAGGCACCAGATGCCCCATGATCTCAATTTTTATAGGTTCCAATTTATTTGGAAATGAAAGCTTAAATGATTTCTTAAGCAATTTCATCTAAGGATATACTTGTTTCAAAATAGGAAGCTTAAGAATAAAACATTCAGAGTTAGGCAAAAACAAAGTACTTTTTCAAAGACTTAAATAATTAACAGGAGATTTGATTTTCTTCTTAGGATGTATTTAGGACTTGGGGAAGGAATGGCAATAACAAGATACCAAGGTTATTTGTGAATCCCGTAAGGAAAAATTGGATTGTGTACTTTTATGAGTAGATAAGAATGATCTATCATTAGCTTGTTAAGAATACGGAGTTTATTTCCAAACAGCCTGAGTAAAGCCTGTACAATCTGTGCTATTATTATTATTGTACACCACCAATGAAGAAATAATGGATTTTTAACTCTACTCTGCCACCATCCAAATTACTGAAGTTTGAATTTTAATAAATAACTATTACCTGAATTTCAGTAAGCTGATTTGTTCATTAATAACTGAGTATTCATATCTGGGCAGTAGGTAATATAAAACATTAAATATTAAATTATTTCTAGGGACTGGCAGAGTACTTAACTAAAAGTGTTTTATATTAACAAATGTATATCTCAGGACAGTGACTATGCAAACTGAAGAAAGAAAGCTAGTAGTACGGAGTTAGGATTTTTACATCAAGATAAGAATACTTCTACCCCTGTGCACCAAGTTCCTACTTTAGTTAATGAAGAACATTATCTACTGATGGAGCACAGTGTCCTGTGTTTGTGCAAATAAATTAAAATGATTACATACTCAAATGAGGACTAATTAAATACAGAGCTGTTCTCCTAATTTAAAAGCACAAATACTTTCTTGAGCACATTAGGTTCTGAAGATCAGATAGTACATTTTTTGTGAGCCTAAATAACTAGGCTTACCTTGCATATATAAATTTGGTTTATTTCTAAAACTACTAAATCTGATAGCATGTGGGGTGATTAATTATGCATTAAGGTGTTTAAAATAGCTTTTCAACACTAGCAGTACAAAAAGAATCTTAAAAATGAGAAGACAAGGAAATGTGTAGTAGATACATTTAAGATAGTTAAAAATTTATATACCTACTTGGCTTACTCTGATTATCTTAAAAGTAGAGAAAGCAATATGGTTATTTCATTTTTTTCTTCAGGTAAATATAGTTCAAGATTCCTTATAAAAGTTCATGTTAAATTTGCTTACAGTTTTCAGTTTTGTGATCTTTGTTAGTGCTATAGGTCTTGATAGTTCTTTCTTTAGGCAGCCAGTGGTCTTGAAAGTCCTACTATGTTACATGTTTTTTTCAAAATAGGAATGTCTTTATTTTCTCCTGTTAACATGCCATCATTTTGGTAAAGAATAAACTTCTATACAGCAATAGAAAGGAGTGGTTTATTGATAAGATATCTTTTTTTTTCTTTTAAAGATTTTATTTATTTGAGAGAGAGAGACAGTGAGAAAGAGCATGAGCGAGGAGAAGGTCAGAGAGAGTAGCAGACTCCCCGTGGAGCTGAGAGCCCGATGTGGGACTCGATCCCGGGACTCCGGGATCATGACCTGAGCCCAAGGCAGTTGTCCAACCAACTGAGCCACCCAGGCATCCCTATTGATAAGATATCTTAATAGGAATGACCCTCAAACATTATGCTAAGAAAAAAAGCCATATATGAAAGCCCATATACCCATTTATGAATTTCTAGAAAAGAAATCTGAAGGGACAACAAATGAGTAGTTATCTGGGAGTAGAAGTGGGAACTGATTGCTCAGGAGCAGGAGGGAGCTTTTTGAGTGCTCATAGTTGCCCAACCGTATATTTATTAAAATCATTTAACTGTACCCTTAAAATGTGTTAGATTTAGTGATACGTTAACAGTATGGAGGGTGAGAATGGGAAGTAGAGCAAACTGCTAGAACATCTGTATTTTTAGAGTTCAAGAGAAAAGGAGGAGGAAGAATTCTAAGATGGATATTAATAGAGGATAAAACAATAAAGAACTCCTGACCAGAGGGGAAAAAACCATTGAGATACCAAGGAAGTGAGATTATTGCCTCCTCCAAATTTCACTCCCCACCTAACTCCCTTCAGGTTGATTGGTTTTTGTTTTAGCAGGTCACATACAGGAATCCTCTTCTCCCCCACTTTGGACCCCCCAGTGACGTGTTCCACATGAATACACATGTGCACACACTTTTTTTTTTTAATTTTTATTCAATTCCTATAACAAAATCCATTTTATTAATTTGGTGGTTTTACTGTATTCACAGTGTACAACCATCATCACTAATTTCAGAATATTTCCATCACCTCACAGAGAATCCCTATTATTCTCACTTTCCCACCTCCCATACCCTGGCAACCACTAAATAATTATTTTCTGTCTCTGGGTTTGCTTATTCTGGACCTTCTGTAAGAAGAGAAGCATAAAATGGGGCCTTTTGTTTCTGGCTTCTTTCATTTAGCATAATGTTTTCAAGGTCTTTTTTTTTTTTTTTTTTTTTTTTTTTTTTAAGCATGCTGTCTGTTGTGGGCATCATTATATATGTTGAACATTGAAATTTTCTTCATCTTTTTCCTGGCTGGATATCATTTTATTAAATGACCAGAATTTAATTGACTTCCACAGTCCCCTATTATCAGACAGTTAGGATCTTGGTACATTTTTAGAAAAATTATAAATAGTGCTGCGTTGGTACTGGCATCTTCCATTATTACATGCCTTTTTTGCTTCTTATAGTGCTCACATTAATAATTACTTAAATGCAGAATTTAAATTCTGAAAATTTCAATAATTTTATTCCCTAGTATTCTGTTTAGTGTGAGTCTAGTTTTTGATTTGTTGAAGCATGCAATTCCCATCTATGTTTATATAAGCACTGATCTGTGATTCTCTATTACCTCAGCATTTTTATGCTACTCTTAAGCAGTGGAATGTGAACACTGGTAAAAGTATCATGTCATGCCCACACCTCAGATTATTCCTACATTAGAAGGGAAGACTTCATTCAGATTGAGCTGCCTTTTTTTTCTTGCCCGTTTAGAAGAGTCAGTCTGACAGTGTCCTTTTAAGGTCACTGTTTGTACATAGCTTTTTTTAAAAAAAAGTTCTGAAATGTGCCCATTTTTAATTTCTCCTTCAGTGGGTCTTTGTGCTCATCTAATTATTTCAGAGCATCCCTTCCATTTAACTCAATTGGGCTTTCAGTGCATCAGTACTCATCTTTAGAGAGAGTATCAGATATATGGTATGATCTGACAGTGACTGCTCAAACTAGGCCTTGTTACCCAATTTGTTCGTATTTCACTTCCCAGGAGTTAAATTTTATCATGATAGCAGTTATAAAAACAAAATCAACATCTTTACTTCAGACATCTGCAGAAATCAGTTTGTTATATAAATTTTTATTGCACTTTTAAGAGTTGAATTACTTAATAAAATGATTTAAAATGCTTTCCTTTTGCTTGGTTTTTGTTTGCATGGAGTTGTTTGTTTAGAGGGTATTTTTTGCTTTGGTGTTGTATTTATAATATTTTACAGCTTGCCTTTTTTTTTTTTTTTTTTCTAAGATCGTATTTATTTATTTGACAGAGAGAAAGCATGAGCACAAGCAGGGGGAATAAAAGGGAGAGGGAGAAGCAGGCTTCCTACTGACCAGGGAGCTCAATGTGAGGCTCCATCCCAGGACCCTGGGATCATGACCTGATGCCTGAAGGCAGAGGTTTACCTGACTGAGCTACCCAGGCACGGTATGCCTTGCTTTTTTAATGCACTTTAAAAAAACACTTTCTGAATTGTTTAAATGTACATTTTCATCACTGCACAAGCAGTCCTGTTGAACAGCATCTTCCAGCTTAAATGCCAATTCGGATACTCCTTGCATGTGTATGTCTGCCAGAAGATCATGCTTAACCCAGGCTCTCTTTTTACCATCTCTTCAGACTTTTATTCTGATGGGTCTAGGTCACAATCTTCCTAGGGTTGCATGGCTTTGGCTTTTCCTATAAAAAATTGAATCACTTCTATGGTTTAATAAAAGATTAAACCGAATCTACAATGAGAGGAATGTTGTTTAAATATGGCTGTCCTTGATCATCTACTTTGAACTAAAGTTAGAATTTAATATTTGACATAAGAATTGTACTGATTTTCTGTTTTTATTCATATCACAAAAATGAGAGAGAATAATTTATGAACAAACCATGGAACCTCTGTCTTAACCAGGTCCCCCCTGCAGAAAGAACTGGAGCTCAGCTGAGAGCCTGAAAGTCAAGACTGAACAGAAGGTGATAGCAGGGAATCTGGGGCCCTAAAATAATCAACAGGGAAAGTTTGGAGCGATTGTGCTAACATGTGTTAGGAAATTTGTTTTCTACTTATACTATGTTATTGAAGAGTGATATAAAATTTTTAGTGTATCAAAATACAGCCTGTTTACATTATTGGTGTTAAAGCCATAAGTACTAAAAATAAAGTAAATCAAACAGCAGAAAGGTATGTTAATCTTGTAAATCAATTTTATCTAGAAAGTCTAACGTAAAACAGTTTTTCAGCATCCAGACTACATAGGCAATTCTTACTGACATGTTTGCAAAACTTCTCACAAATTCATTTTAGCCCTAGGGTTGGGAAATTTCTCACTAATTAATTGGTCATGCTGCAATTAGAGCTTCAGTCTTCTTGCTCTTTCTTTATTGGAGACAGTCTCAGGTCGCCATCCTCTAAGATGGGCAGGGAACCTGTGGTCCCTGGCCAAAATCTGGAAGACAGTATCAGTTCACTGCCATCCTAATGCTCTTCATTTCATCTGCTGCCTTCTTCTACTAGGCTGAGTGCACTCTGGCTGCTGGTATTGCTCCAAATGTAGTTTTTTCCACATTGGCAATTATAAAATTCAGATTCAGAGCAGAGATGAAATAGTAGTTACAGAGCTATAAAAAATAAGCAGTTTATCAACATTTTTTTTTAATTTTATTTTTTATAAACATATAATATATTTTTTCCCCAGGGGTACAGGTCTGTGAATCGCCAGGTTTACACACTTCACAGCACTCACCATAGCACATACCCTCCCCAATGTCCATAATAACCCCACCCCCCCTCCCAACACCCTCCCCCCAGCAACCCTCAGTTTGTTTTGTGAGATTAAGAGTCACTTATGGTTTTATCTCCCTCCCAATCCCATCTTGCTTCATTTACTCTTCTCCTACCCCCTTAACCTCCATGTTGCATCTCCTCTCCCTCATATCAGGGAGATCATATGATAGTTGTCTTTCTCCGATTGACTTATTTCGCTCAGCATGATACCCTCTAGTTCCATCCACGTCGTCGCAAATGGCAAGATTTCATTTCTTTTGATGGCTGCATAGTATTCCATTGTGTATATATACCACATCTTCTTTATCCATTCGTCTGTTGATGGACATCTAGGTTCTTTCCATAGTTTGGCTATTGTAGACATTGCTGCTATAAACATTCGGGTGCACGTGCCCCTTCGGATCACTACGTTTGTATCTTTAGGGTAAATACCCAGCAGTGCAATTGCTGGGTCATAGGGTAGTTCTATTTTCAACATTTTGAGGAACCTCCATGCTGTTTTCCAGAGTGGTTGCACCAGCTTGCATTCCCACCAACAGTGTAGGAGGGTTCCCCTTTCTCCGCATCCTCGCCAGCATCTGTCATTTCCGGACTTGTTAATTTTAGCCATTCTGACTGGTGTGAGGTGGTATCTCATTGTGGTTTTGATTTTTATTTCCCTGATGCCGAGTGATATGGAGCACTTTTTCATGTGTCTGTTGGCCATCTGGATGTCTTCTTTGCAGAAATGTCTGTTCATGTCTTCTGCCCATTTCTTGATTGGATTATTTGTTCTTTGGGTGTTGAGTTTGCTAAGTTCTTTATAGATTCTGGACACTAGCCCTTTATCTGATATGTCGTTTGCAAATATCTTCTCCCATTCTGTCAGTTGTCTTTTGGTTTTGTTAACTGTTTCCTTTGCTGTGCAAAAGCTTTTGATCTTGATAAAATCCCAATAGTTCATTTTTGCCCTTGCTTCCCTTGCCTTTGGCGATGTTCCTAGGAAGATGTTGCTGTGGCTGAGGTCGAAGAGGTTGCTGCCTGTGTTCTCAAGGATTTTGATGGATTCCTTTCTCACATTGAGGTCCTTCATCCATTTTGAGTCTATTTTCGTGTGTGGTGTAAGGAAATGATCCAATTTCATTTTTCTGCATGTGGCTGTCCCAATTTTCCCAACACCATTTATTGAAGAGGCTGTCTTTTTTCCATTGGACATTCTTTCCTGCTTTGTCGAAGATTAGTTGACCATAGAGTTGAGGGTCTATTTCTGGGCTCTCTATTCTGTTCCATTGATCTATGTGTCTGTTTTTGTGCCAGTACCATGCTGTCTTGATGATGACAGCTTTGTAGTAGAGTTTGAAGTCTGGAATTGTGATGCCACCAACTTTGGCTTTCTTTTTCAATATTCCTTTGGCTATTCGAGGTCTTTTCTGGTTCCATATAAATTTTAGGATTATTTGTTCCATTTCTTTGAAAAAAAATGGATGGTACTTTGATAGGAATTGCATTAAATGTGTAGATTGCTTTAGGTAGCATAGACATTTTCACAATATTTATTCTTCCAATCCAGGAGCATGGAATATTTTTCCATTTCTTTGTGTCTTCCTCAATTTCTTTCATGAGTACTTTATAGTTTTCTGTGTATAGATTCTTAGTCTCTTTGGTTAGGTTTATTCCTAGGTATCTTATAGTTTTGGGTGCAATTGTAAATGGGATGGACTCCTTAATTTCTCTTTCTTCTGTCTTGTTGTTGGTGTAGAGAAATGCAACTGATTTCTGTGCATTGATTTTATATCCTGACACTTTACTGAATTCCTGTACCAGATCTAGCAGTTTTGGAGTGGAGTCTTTTGGGTTTTCCACATATAGTATCATATCATCTGCGAAGAGTGATAGTTTGACTTCTTTGCCGATTTGGATGCCTTTAATTTCTTTTTGTTGTCTGATTCCTGAGGCTAGGACTTCTAGTACTATGTTGAATAGCAGTGGTGATAACGGACATCCCTGCCGTGTTCCTGACCTTAGCGGAAATGCTTTCAGTTTTTCTCCATTGAGAATGATATTTGCGATGGGTTTTTCATAGATGGCTTTGATAATATTGAGGTATGTGCCCTCTATCCCTACACTTTGAAGAGTTTAGATCAGGAAGGGATGCTGTACTTTGTCAAATGCTTTTTCAGCATCTATGGAGAGTATCATATGGTTCTTGTTCTTTCTTTTATTAATGTGTTGTATCACATTGATTGATTTGCGGATGTTGAACCAACCTTGCAGCCCTGGAATAAATCCCACTTGGTCGTGGTGAATAATCCTTTTAATGTACTGTTGAATCCTATTGGCTAGTATTTTGGTGAGAATTTTTGCATCTGTGTTCATCAAGGATATTGGTCTATAGTTCTCTTTTTTGATGGGATCCTTGTCTGGTTTGGGGATCAAGGTGATGCTGGCCTCATAAAATGAGTTTGGAAGTTTTCCTTCCATTTCTATTTTTTGGAACAGTTTCAGGAGAATAGGAATTAGTTCTTCCTTAAATGTTTGGTAGAATTCCCCTGGGAAGCTCTCTGTCCCTGGGCTTTTGTTTGTTTGGAGATTTTTGATGACTGTTTCAATCTCCTTACTGGTTATGGGTCTGTTCAGGCTTTCTATTTCTTCCTGGTTCAGTTGTGGTAGTTTATATGTCTCTAGGAATGCATCCATTTCTTCCAGATTGTCAAATTTGTTGGCATAGAGTTGCTCATAATATGTTCTTATGATTGTCTGTATTTCTTTGGTGTTCGTTGTGACCTCTCCTCTTTCATTCATGATTTTATTTATTTGGGTCCTTTCTCTTTTCTTTTTGATAAGTCTGGCCAGGGGTTTATCAATCTTATTAATTCTTTCAAAGAACCAGCTCCTAGTTTCATTGATTCGTTCTATTGTTTTTTTGGTTTCTATTTCATTGATTTCTGCTCTGATCTTTATGATTTCTCTTCTCCTGCTGGGTTTAGGGTTTCTTTCTTGTTCTTTCTCCAGCTCCTTTAGGTGTAGGGTTAGGTTGTGGACCTGAGACCTTTCTTGTTTCTTGAGAAAGGCTTGTACCGCTATATATTTTCCTCTCAGGACTGCCTTTGTTGTGTCCCACAGATTTTGAACCGTTGTATTTTCATTATCATTTGTTTCCATGAATTTTTTCAATTCTTCTTCAATTTCCTGGTTGACCCATTCATTCTTTAGAAGGATGCTGTTTAGTCTCCATGTATTTGGGTTCTTTCCAAATTTCCTCTTGTGATTGAGTTCTAGCTTCAGAGCATTGTGGTCTGAAAATATGCAGGGAATGATCCCAATCTTTTGATACTGGTTGAGACCTGATTTAGGACCGAGGATGTGATCTATTCTGGAGAATGTTCCATGTGCACTAGAGAAGAATGTGTATTCTGTTGCTTTGGGATGAAATGTTCTGAATATATCTGTGATATCCATCTGGTCCAGTGTGTCATTTAAGGCCTTTATTTCCTTGTTGATCTTTTGCTTGGATGATCTGTCCATTTCAGTGAGGGGAGTGTTAAAGTCCCCTACTATGATTGTATTATTGTTGATGTGTTTCTTTGATTTTGTTATTAATTGGTTCATATAGTTGGCTGCTCCCACGTTAGGGGCATAGTTATTTAAAAGTGTTAGATCTTCTTGTTGGACAGATCCTCTGAGTATGATATAGTGTCCTTCCTCATCTCTTATTATAGTCTTTGGCTTAAAATCTAATTGATCTGATATAAGGATTGCCACTCCTGCTTTCTTCTGATGTCCATTAGCATGGTAAATTCTTTTCCACCCCCTCACTTTAAGTCTGAAGGTGTCTTTGGGTTTAAAATGAGTTTCTTGTAGGCAACATATAGATGGGTTTTGTTTTTTTATCCATTCTGATACCCTGTGTCTTTTGATTGGGGCATTTAGCCCATTAACATTCAGGGTAATTATTGAGAGATATGAATTTAGTGCCATTGTATTGCCTGTAAGGTGACTGTTACTGTAAATTGTTTCTGTTCCTTTCTGATCTACTAGTTTTAGGGTCTCTCTTTGCTTAGAGGACCCCTTTCAATATTTCCTGTAGAGCTGGTTTGGTGTTTGCAAATTCTTTCAGTTTTTGTTTGTCCTGGAAGCTTTTAATCTCTCCTTCTATTTTCAATGATAGCCTAGCTGGATATAGTATTCTTGGCTGCATGTTTTTCTCATTTAGTACTCTGAATATATCATGCCAGCTCTTTCTGGCCTGCCAGGTCTCTGTGGATAAGTCTGCTGCCAATCTAATATTTTTACCATTGTATGTTACAGACTTCTTTTCCCAGGCTGCTTTCAGGATTTTCTCTTTGTCACTAAGACTTGTAAATTTCACTATTAGGTGACGGGGTGTGGACCTGTTCTTATTGATTTTGAGGG